GGGGGGGGGAGAGAAACGGAAGGATAGAAGACAGATGAGAAATGTGAAAAATAGAGAAATAGAGATATACAAATTGTTCGATCGATAGATCGATAGATCGATAGATCGATAGATAGATAGATAGATATATAGATAAATAGATAGATAGATAGAGAGATAGATAGAGAGATAGATAGAGAGATAGAGAGATAGAGAGATAGAGAGAGACAAAAAGAGGGAGGAGGAGGGGGGGGGGAATCATAGCGAAGAGGAGAGGGATCAAATAACACAAGGGATGGTGTTGTTGTTGGTGGTGGTGGTGATGGTGGTGGTATTCATAATTTACCTATGTAGAAAATCCGAAAAAATTGTACAATGCTCTTTGGAATTCAGGGCTGATGCCGCGGTTGTGTGCTGAGTGGTGGTAGTGATGGTTGTTGTTGTAGCGGTGGTGATGGCGTTGGCGATGGTAGAGTGGCGAGTCGCCCGACCTGGTGTAGTGGTAGGGGAAGTACGGGAACTCGCCGGGCTCAGGGGTTTCAGGAGGCTCTGGGGTGTCGGGCGCTGTCCACTCTGTAGGTGGTGTGGTCTGGGGGGCTTTTGCAGACGACGACGATGACGATGATAACGATGATGATGAGGAGGAGGAGGAAGAGGATGAGGATGAGGAGGAGGATGGTGATGAGGATGAAGAGAGGGGTTGTCCCGACGCGCGGGCCTCTAAAAGTCCTCTGAGCTCCGACGCCGTCATGTTGAAAATTTTTGCCACTGTGTCATAGGCTTTTCCGATATGTCGCCCTTCTGTCTGATTGGAGAGAGATTGAGAGAGGTGGGTGATGTTTATAGAGTCGTATCTGGGATCTGTGAAGTTGATTGTTGGCGAGAAAGAGGAGGATTGAGAGGAGGAGGACGAGGAAATCAAATGAAGTAAAGAGTGATTATTGTGATGGTAATTGTTGTTATTGCTATAGTTGCCTATGTTAGACGTGAGGTTATATAACAGAGGGGAGGGTGTGGTGTACTGGTAAGGGTGAGGGTACAGTCCTGAGGGAGAGTAGGGCGGTTGAGGAAAAAATCCCGGAGTAGTCCTTGTTTGGAAGGGGTGGGCTATAGGTTGGGGTAGGGTGGGGGTGCTATAGTTGATGGTCAGTGACCTCTGGGCATTTCCTGTACCGAGATGTAGGTGGGTGTTCCAGCCTGTGTGGTTGGTGTGGTAGCCGGTCCAAGTAGTGGGTAGTTGAGTGATGTTACTGAGGGAGGGGGCAGAGTGGTTGTTGAGGTCAAGGACACCGTTAGACGCATGGGCTGGGTTGGCTTGGGGGAAAGATGAGTAGGTCTCCATCATCACTCTGACCATGTCCTGCAACATCTCCTCCACCGTGTAAAGGCCGGCCCCAGGGTTGCTGCGTTTTGGCGGGACTTTGACGCCAATCTCGATCAACTTCTTGGCCATGTTTTTTACGTTTTGAGGCGTTAACGCACCTATTAAGGGCGCGTCGTATCTTAATTGAATTTGCCGCAAAAGTCGTTCCAGTGTTTTGTGAGTCGCGTTTGTGTGGAGATTCTGACCAACGTTTGAGCTGCTTAACGTATGTGTTTCGTTGTTCATGACACTCCTGAGGGTGGCGAGAACTTTTGGGTACGGGAGATTGTTGGGGTAAACTCTGGGCTGTGAGTGCGGCATTTGTGTTTGTGTTTGTGTTTGTGTTTGGGTTTGGGTTTGTGTGGTGTGGAAAGCGTTAGGCGGAACGGCGCCCGCAGGAACGGACAAACTCATCGGTGGAGTCGGGATTTTGGCCGCGGTGCCAATGTTCAGATTAAGTGCGGTGTGTTGATTTACTGGATGCGGCGTTAGATTACTTTGTACACTATTCCAGTTATAAGGTTGGGGAAATGTATTTGATCCGGGAGTTTTTGCTGGGCTAGGGACAACACCGCCAGCTGTTGAGGCAGCTACAGAGTTTTGGTAAAGTTGAGCAGTGTTGGAAGCGGGGCTATGTCCTAGGTTAGGAATAGTGTGAGCGGCTGTTGAAGCATCTACAGAGTTTTGGTAACTTAGAAGAGTGTTGGAGGCGGGGGTGAGTGCTGCTTGTTGCAGGGTACTGCTCATCACGGGGGGAACCCCACCAGCGAGGGGCGAGGTCTGATGACGGTTTGTGTTCTGGGTGTTGGGGGACATCATAGAAGCCTGAAGGGGGTTGAGATTTGAGGCTGTCATGAGACCCGCGAACGGGTTCTGCTGTGACGTCATAGCAAGGTCATGAGGGGTCAAGGCGTGCTGGTTCGCGGCAAACCGATACCTCTGGAGGGCCTGGAGAGCCGCGAACTGGTTCATGAGTGACGTCATGAGGGCTTCGTTTGGGTTAGGGATCTGGGTTTGTGGGGATACAGGGAGGGTGTAGGATGGAGGTGTTTGGGCGACGGGGGCTGGTTGGGGTGTGGCAGGTTTTTGTGTAGGCGCGGCTCTAGATGAGGATAACTGACGCTGGAATTTGGATAACATCAAGTTGAATTTGGTCATGTTGAATGTGGCGGGTAGTGGCTGGGTTGTTGGGAATGACGGTGTGGCAGGAAGACGTTGGTTCATGGGAGATGGTGAGTTGGTGGGTACATGTGGTTTGGTGGGAAATTGTGGGTTGGTGGGTAATTGTGCGTTGGTGGGTAATTGTGGATTGGTGGGTAATTGTGGGTTGGTGGGTAATTGTGGGTTGGTGGGTAATTGAGGGTTGGTGGGAAATTGTGCGTTGGTGGGAAATTGTGCGTTGGTTGGAAATTGTGGATTGGTGGGTAATTGAGGGTTGGTGGGTAATTGACGGTTGGTGGGTACTTGACGGTTGGTGGGTACTTGACGGTTGACCGGTGGTGGTGGGTTTTTGAGAAATGTCTGGGTTGCAGATGATGGTTGGTCGGCAGGGGCAGCTGCAGAAGGTAATCTTCCATTGACATTTACGTTTTGACTGAGTTGATTAGTTGTTGGGGTAAGTTCTGGGTTTGTTACAAGTGTTAGAGGACTGGAGTTGCTTAACGCGTTGAACAAGGTTAGGCTTTCTTCCCGAGGTACTGTGGAGGGTTGGTTTTGTGGAGTCTGCTGAGTTATAGCAGAAGACCCAGACAGGCCTGTGTTTGTTTCTCTAAATGAAGATTGTGCACGGTTTGCTGTTTCTCTGAACGAAGGTTGCCCCATATTTGCTCCGTCTTGAGAGGATTGTGCCGTATTTGTGTCTCTTAAAGAATATTGTCCCGTGTTTGTGTCTCTAAAGGAAGATTGTCCCGTATTTGTGTCTCTAAAGGAAGATTGTCCCGTATTTGTGTCTCTAAAGGAAGATTGTCCCGTATTTGTGTCTCTAAAGGA